CTTCGATTTTCTTAAATTTACCAAGGCTTGATTTGTGACCCAAAATATGATCTATCCTGGAGAATGTTCCATGAGCACTTGAGAAAAATGTGTATTCTGTTGTTTTTGGATGGAGTGTCCTATAAATATCAATTAAGTCCATCCTGTTTAATGTATCATTTAAAGCTTGTGTTTCCTTATTTATTTTCATCTTGGATGATCTGTCCATTGGTGAAAGTGGGGTGTTGAAGTCCCCTACTATGAATGTGTTACTGTCGATTTCCCCTTTTATGGCTGCTAGTTTTTGCCTTATGTATTGAGGTGCTCCTATGTTGGGTGCATAAACATTTACAATTGTTATATCTTCTTCTTGGATCGATCCCTTAATCATTATGTAGTGTCCTTCTTTGTCTCTTCTGATAGTCCTTATTTTAAAGTCTATTTTGTCTGATATGAGAATTGCTACTCCAGCTTTCTTTTGGTTTCCATTTGCATGGAATATCTTTTTCCATCCCCTTACTTTCAGTCTGTATGTGTCTCTAGGTCTGAAGTGGGTCTCTTGTAGACAGCATATATATGGGTCTTGTTTTTGTATCCATTCAGCCAATCTGTGTCTTTTGGTGGGAGCATTTAGTCCATTTACATTTAAGGTAATTATCGATATGTATGTTCCTATTCCCATTTTCTAAATTGTTTTGGGTTCGTTATTATAGGACTTTTCCTTCTCTTGTGTTTTTGTCTAGAGAAGTTCCTTTAGCATTTGTTGTAAAGCTGGTTTGGTGGTGCTGAACTCTCTCAGCTTTTGCTTGTCTGTAAAGGTTTTAATTTCTCCATCAAATCTGAATGAGATCCTTGCTGGGTAGAGTAATCTTGGTTGCAGGTTTTTCTCCTTCATCACTTTCAGTATGTCCTGCCACTCCCTTCTGGCTTGTAGAGTTTCTGCTGAGAGATCAGCTGTTAACCTTATGGGGATTCCCTTGTGTGTTATTTGTTGTTTTTCCCTTGCTGCTTTTAATATGCTTTCTTTGTATCAGGTCACTTCTCCGTTCTTCTGCCTCAGTTATTCTGCTATTGATCCCTTCTAGAGTATTTTCAATTTCATTTATTGTGTTGTTCATTGTTGCTTGTTTCATCTTTAGTTCTTCTAGGTCCTTGTTAAATGTTTCTTGCATTTTCTCTATTCTATTTCCAAGATTTTGGATCATCTTTACTATCATTATTCTGAATTCTTTTTCAGGTAGACTGCCTATTTCCTCTTCATTTGTTAGGTCTGGTGGGTTTTTATCTTGCTCCTTCATCTGCTGTGTGTTTTTCTGTCTTCTCATTTTGTTTATCTTACTGTGTTTGGGGTCTCCTTTTTGTAGACTGCAGGTTCATAGTTCCCGTTGTTTTTGGTGTCTCTCCCCAGTGGCTAAAGTTGGTTCAGTGGGTTGTGTAGGCTTCCTGGTGGAGGGGACTAGTGCCTGTGTTCTGGTGGATGAGGCTGGATCTTGTCTTTCTGGTGGGCAGGTCCATGTCTGGTGGTGTGTTTTGGGATGTCTGTGGACTTATTATGATTTTAGGCAGCCTCTCTGCTAATGGGTGGGGTTGTGTTCCTGTCTTGCTAGTTGTTTGGCATAGGGTGTCCAGCACTGTAGCTTGCTGGTCGTTGAGTGAAGCTGGGTGTTGGTGTTGAGATGGAGATCTCTGGGAGATTTTTGCCGTTTGATATTATGTGGAGCTGGGAGGTGTCTTGTGGATCAGTGTCCTGAAGTTGGCTCTCCCACCTCAGAGGCACAGCACTGACTCCTGTCTGCAGCACCAAGAGCCTTACATCCACACGGCTCAGAATAAAAGGGAGAAAATGGAGAGAGAGAGAGAAAGAAAGAAGATAAGATAAAGTAAGGTAAAATAAAATAAAGTTATTAAAATAAAAAAATAAGAAAAAAATTTTTTTAAGTAAAAAAACCCAAAACAAACAAAATAAAAAAGGACGGATAGAACCCTAGGACAAATGGTGAAAGCAAAGCTATACAGACAAAATCTCACACAGAAGTATACACATACACACTCACAAAAAGAGGAAAAGGGGAAAAAATCATAAATCTTGCTCTCAAAGTCCACCTCCTCAATTTGGGATGATTCTTTGTCTATTCAGATTTTCCACAGATGCAGGGTACATCAAGTTGATTGTGGAGATTTAATCCGCTGCTCCTGAGGCTGCTGGGAGAGATTTCCCTTTCTCTTCTTTGTTCGCACAGCTCCCGGGGTTCAGCTTTGGATTTGACCCCGCCTCTGCTTGTAGGTCGGCAGAGGGTGTCTGTTTTCTGCTCAGACACGACGGGGTTAAAGGAGCTGCTGATTTTGGGGCTCCGGCTCACTCAGGCCGGGGGGAGGGAGGGGCACAGAGTGCGGGGCGGGCCTGCGGCGGCAGAGGCCGGCGTGACGTTGCACCAGCGTGAGGCGCGCCGTGCGTGCGTTCTCCCGGGGAAGTTGTCCCTGGATCCCGGGACCCTGGCAGTGGTGGGCTGCACAGGCTCCCCGGAAGCGGGGTGTGGATAGTGACCTGTGCTGGCACACAGGCTTCTTGGTGGCGGCAGCAGCAGCCTTAGCGTCTCATGCCCGTCTCTGGGGTCCGCGTTTTTAGGCGCGGCTCGCGCCTGTCTCTGGAGCCCCTTTAAGCAGCGCTCTTAATCCCCTCTCCTCGCGCACCAGGAAACAAAGAGGGAAGAAAAAGTCCCTTGCCTCTTCGGCAGCTCCAGATTTTTTTCCGGACTCCCTCCCGGCTAGCCGTGGTGCACTAACCCCTTCAGGCTGTGTTCACGCCGCCAGTCCTCTCCCTGCACTCCGACTGAAGCCCAAGCCTCAGCTCCCAGCCCTGCCCACCCCGGCGGGTGAGCAGACAAGCCTCTCGGGCTGGTGAGTGCCGGTCGGCACCGACCCTCTGTGGGGGAATCTCTCCGCTTTGCCCTCCGCACCCCTGTTGCTGTGCTCTCCTCCGCGGCTCTGAAGCTATCCGCCTTCACCACCCGCACTCTCTGCCCGCGAAGGGGCTTCCTAGTGTGTGGAAACCTTTCCTCCTTCACGGCTCCCTCCCACTGGTGCAGGTCCCGTCCCTATTCTTTTGTCTCTGTTTATTCTTTTTTCTTTTGCCCTACCCAGGTACGTGGGGGGGTTTCTTGCCTTTTGGGAGGTCTGAGGTCTTCTGCCAGCGTTCAGTAGGTGTTCTGTAGGAGTTGTTCCACGTGTAGATGTATTTCTGGTGTATCTGTGGGGAGGAAGGTGATCTCCACGTCTTACTCTTCCGCCATCTTCCCCTAGATCCTCCTTTTTTTTTTTTTTTTAATGACATGCCAGACATTTTGAATTTATGTTGTTTGGTGCTGGATATTTTTTTATGTCTATAAATATTCTTGAGCTTTGTTCTGGGGAAACAATTTGATTCTTTCAAGGTTTGCTTTTGTTTGGTGGAATCAGAGCAGCCTTTAGTGTAGCCGTAATTTGGCTGAATTACAGAGGTAGTACTTTTCTGAGTACTCTACCAGATGCCCCATGAGTTAGGAGATTTCCAGTCTGGCTGGTGGGAAGATGAACTCTCCCAGGTCCTTTGAGAGCTTTGAGAATTTTCCCCTCCAGTTCCCCTCTGGTGGGTGTTCCCGGCCTCAGGTGCTTTCCTTGTATGCATGTGCTGATCAATACTCAGGTGAATACTCCAAAGGGACCCCCTCAAGTCTCTGAAGCCTTTCTCTCTGTGCAGCCTTTTCCTCCCCATGACTCTCTCTCTGCACACTTTGCCCTCCCGGGAATTACAGCTTCTTCTCCACTCAGGGAGACTGCCAGTCTCCACCTGGGTTTCTCTTCCTGAGCTGCTGCCTTGAAACTGCCTCCAGACAATAAGCTGGGACAGTGGTAGGGCTCATCTAATTTTCCAGCTATGGGGTATCATTGTCCTATGATGACTGATGTCCAATGTCTATAAATGGTCATTTCATATATTTTGCTCATTATTTTACTTGTTTCACATGGAAGGGCCACTCCAATGTCAAGAACTGTGGAGGGTCTAAAACTTCACCCTACTTACGAGGCAGCAAGTTTCATAGCAGGTTCATAGATGCTGACAAAAGGCATGAGACTCCCGGGTCAGAGAGAAAGGGCTCTGTTACCCACAGCACAGCAGACAGCATGAGCTTCGTGTTCTCACTGGTCCCCCTGCTTCCCTGAGCCCCACAGGGCGATGTGGAGCCACACATGTGGACGCCGCCCATGCAGAGATCTGCGTCACAGCTGAGAAAGCTTGCCCTTAGGAAACCCCAGTCTTACAAGGGAGCTGCTCACCAACCTACTCAAAGGTTCTTGGAGAAAGACATTATCTTTACTATTCTGGTCAGAAACAACTCTCTGACCTAGGGGATATACTATTTCTATATTCCAAGGTTATTTGCCACCCAAGCATACTTGAAGAGATATTCTGTCAAAAAGCTGATTTAAGATACGCAGAAGGGCTTCCCTGGTGGCGCAGTGGATAAGAATCCACCTGCCAGTGCAGGGGACACAGCTTCGAGCCGTGGTCTGGGAAGATCCCACATGCCGCACAGCACCTAAGCCCGTGTGCCACAACTACTGAGCCTGTGCTCTAGAGCCTGCCAGCCACAACAAGAGAAGCCACCGCTATGAGAAGCCCACGCCCCACAGTGAAGAGTAGCCCCCGCTCGCCACAACTAGAGAACGCCTGCATGCAGCAACAAAGACCCAACGCAGCCAAAAATAAAATAAATTTATTAACAAAAAGTAAGATGTGCAAAAAACATAACTTGTATCATTGCTACTGTTTTTCAGGGCTGTAAGGAAATTAAAATTGTCAAGCAAAGAAAGTAAAATTGTGGCTTTGAATGAATGAATGAATGAAAGTTTTAGGAAGAATTTTAGAGACAAGGTACTTCTTTTTACTGTGGAGCAGTAATTAGCTCTTCCTCCCTCTGTGACTCTTGAGTGCCCTGGTCTTCCCTAGTGTGTGCCTCTCACTATTCCCTGTTGTTTTTCAGAGGGTATTGTTCCCGGGCCCCCCACAGACCTCTCTGTCATCGAGGCCACACAGAGCTACGTGGTGCTGAGCTGGAAGCCCCCCCGTCAGCGTGGCCATGAGGGCATCCTCTACTTTGTAGAAAAGGTAAGACTCTGGGATCGACATTATACCTCTTAACACTTCTTCAAGATTTCTTTAAGGAAGTAGAGATTAAATTTCTATTGTGTCCTGAACTTTTTAAACTCCTATAAACTGTAAACAATTTCTATAGAAAAATGTGTATCACACAGAACTTTGCCTTAAAGTTCAGGGGGTTTATGGATCCCTGAGGGTCACCCATTGACTCCTACAAGGTCCACAGACCCCAACTCATAACCCTTCTAAGAAGAGAAATGTTCCTGAAACTGTAAATTACCTCTGTGACACTGTTTTCTCTACACTTTTTCTGTCTCCCTTGCCCTAGAAATGCCTTTTCATCTCTCTGCACTTGTCCTTCTGCAGGAAGGGTAGATGGGCGAGAGGAATAGAAGTTACAATACTTTCAAATGGCTGCGAGAGTGAAGACAGAAAGTCCTCACATGCTCCCTCGAGCTTGGCTGGCACTACTCTAAGTGCCGGTGGGAGGGTGGGGTCAGGGGTTACAATCAAGAAAGATACTGGCTAGTTCTTCCCCTCAAATATCTTACAATTATATTGTAGTTATCTTGGAGAGGGCAGCATACAATGAAGGCCTAAAATGGGTGGAATGATGAGAATTATATGTGAATCTATATATTTGAGGGGAGTTCTAATAAGTATTTATGCTGAGAAAATGGAGAAAAGCAAGACCTGGACAAGACATTATCTGGGGGAGCTACCCCAGCTTCAAGTGCACAGGGGAGCACCTGCCAGGCAAGGCACAGGGCCCGGGGTGGGCAGAGGAGGTCCGAGCATAAAGGGATCATTGGTACTGGAAAAGGGCATTTAAAGAGAATGTGCCGAAACTGAGGTTCAAAATCCATTGTTAAGAAGGTTTTGATTAGGATATAATTGAAAAAAAGTAAAATAAGTTTATCTTATCTTGTATGTAAGAACATTTTTATTGGCAGTTATGCACCATTTTTTAGAACAATGAATGAAACAACTGTTTGTACTTTTTTGTTATATTTTATTTTTATAAAATTCTGTAATAGCATGTTAAGATTTCATTTACATTTTGTTTTCATAGCAAAATCATAGAAAAGGTCATTTTTTTTTTTGCAAAAATGTTATGGAGCTCAATTAATTTTCCTAAAGTCCTCTCTTTTACCTTTAATGCTACTCTAATCATTCAATTTCAGAACACCTATTAGATCACCTTCCCTGACAATTATTACAAGAGACTAGATATCATAGGAATATAGGTAAAGGCAAACATCTGCAAATTAGGTAACAACATAAAAGCAATATTCGACTATCTTTATGGCCTTTTAATTATTTCTAATTAGCAGCTCTTGAGAAAATTATACTGGAGCTAAAAACACTAGGCTATGTGGTTTCCCTTTATTAATTATTATACTTTTCTTTGATGAGGACATTTAACTCACATCTTTGAGGAGCTTTCCTCACTTGCTTCTTATCCCTAACAAATTGGTAACAATAAGTGGATCATCTCTTCAACGTGACATCTTCAAAGAAATTCTGATTTTACCAAAATAATACTAAAAATTTATATTTTTATTAATTTTTATATTTTCTAGATGTTAGCTTCAAATAAAATATAACTTGAGTATCATTCTTGATTAAAAATTTTTTCCCCTCAATTTTTTTTAATAGAGGACAAGACAAAGAGTGATAAACATTCACTTCCTGGTGTGTTTAATACACCCTCCCCAGTGAATCCTTTTGAAATGCTCCACATGAAGACAGTTCTGAATAAGCTCTGTGACAGTAATTACCATCTTTCTTAGAATAATGACACAGTAAGAATCTACTACCGAGGCCTTTTCTTGAGATGAGTTAACTTTAGCTTCTGTTGAGCATCTCCTCTGGTCACATAAACTCGAATTTCTCCACGAAAGTCTGTCACTTTTCCAGGCCTAAATACATGAGCCAGGTTAAAATTTAAATGTTCTTCCAGCACTGCACCTGTTCGTATGGAACAGAAGGGACATTTATGAGTGCGGCATGGGTAAACAGGCCTGTACAGGCACCACAGACAGACAGAAGGGCCAGGACATTGAGGTAGTAGGGGAGCAGCACACATCCAGAGACCTGGGCACATTTACAGAGGAACTGTCCAAATGCTAGACCATTCTCCTGAGCCAAGTCTCAGATTATCTCTGATGAACCACTTCTATCTAATACGTTGACCTTTCTTAAGGGAGATGTTCCCATGCTCTCATCCTGTGGCGAGTTTCCATCCCCAGGATGTTCATGCCTACAGCAGTGCTGCCTCTTTGGTTACCCCTGTGCTTGCATTTCTTCATGGAACTCTTTACCTGGGATTTGCACATAAAGGACGAACTTGCCTGTCATGGTGACAGGCTTGCAACCAGTTATGCCATGTCTGAGAGCTCTGAAATGGTTGATATTGAGAGGAATTAGATAAATCGGGTCTCAGCACTCCTAACCCTTCCATCCTACTATGTTCTTTTCAGCCCCCCAGTTTTTCCCCAGATGTCTTATGTTTTCAGCTCTTTCTCTCATTCCCCTATCACAAGTCTGGCCATGTCAGAGGCAAGGATTGTATTACTTGGTAGCTCTGTTTCTATCAAAGGAATAAAAATAGCTAATGTTTACAAGGACCAGGTACTGTTCTAAGCTCTGCATGTGTTAACTCACTTAATTCTTACTTAATCCTATGAGGGAAATACTTTCACTTAATCCTATGAGGGAAATACTTTCATTTACATTATGTCTATTTTGTAGATGAGGAAACTGAAGCATAGATGGGGTATATAATTTGCCCAAGATCACACAACTAGGAAGAGACAGAGCTAGGATTTGAACCCTAGCAGTCTGGCTCAGGTCCATATATCCAGCTCTTATACATCGCTGCCTTTCAACCTTCCCAAGCCTAAGTCTCCTCTGGAAAACCTCAGTAATCACACAGTATTACCTCCACAGTACCTACTTCAGAGCACAGTTGAGGGGATTAAAGAGTTACAATGGGGTACAGTTCTTAGCACACTGAAATGCAGCTACTATTTTTATTATGAAAGTGTAAATGACTGATAAATGATTATGTGTTCCCTAAGGGAGAAGATGTCAAAATGAATCAAAGCCATAAACTAAAGGATAAAAAGTCTGGGAGAATTCTGTCCCTCAGTGGGGAGCAGATTGACTGGGGGAATTTATCCTCTCTACCCTCCCACACACAACTGACACATTATCATAAAAGGCACTGCAAGGGACTTCAGAGGTTAGCTTGTCAAATTTGCTTATTTTACAGATGATGACACTAATGTGACTTTCCCAGGATCACATATCTCGTTGTTACCAAAGCTAGGACCAGAACCGATGCCTCTGCGTTCTTTTCACCATACCGTATTGCCTCTCATTTCAGGTCAATGAAGATTATGCTGAGTGATGTACCAATAAACTTATTGTCCCCCAACTTTATCATTCTTGACAACTGGTCAGTCTATCACAAGATTTGGATTTCCAGAAAAGTCTCTTAAAACTGTTCAGAAGTTCTGGAGCAAAGTCACTTCTGCTACCTTGGGCAGAGCTGAAAGTTATAATAGTAGGGAAAAAGGATTACTGAAAACTGCTGATAGTTTTCTTACTGTATCCTGTACCAAAGCTCAAATACACACCACATCCTTCTTTCAGGGATTTCAAAGTCACTGTAGATCAATTTAATTTCAAGGATAAAATATCTTTAAATTGGTTTTCCCCATTATTTATTCTAAAATATGGGCAAAAAATAACATTTTCTTTATCTTACACTAACTTTATGCATTCAGAATTCAGAAAAATTTATTAATTCAGAAACAAAAATTGTTGATTATCCACTATGTGCTAGATAACAATTCCAGGCTCTGGGGTACAGCAGTGAACAAGACAGCTCCCTGAACTTGTTTCACTGGAATTTACTTTCCAATGAAGGAGGCAACAAATAAATAATTTAATTTCAAGTGTTGATAAGTGTTTTGGTGAAAAATAAAGCAGAGTAAGTAAGGGATACAGAGAGATAGGAAAGGAGCAAATAAAGCTTTCAGATTGGTAATGGAAGGAGGGTGATCAAGTGGGCCTTTCTGAGGAGATGGTATATGAGCACAGACCTGCATGATGTTATGAGACATTAAATAAAACGCAATTAAAATAACACAGTTCATAACAACATAATGGAAATTTAAGTATAAGTATCTAACATAGCATATTAAATTTAATTACCTACCCTAAGAATTAGAAAAGCATCTGACCCCAAACTATCATCTAAATAAATTAAGGACTTTTGTAAGTAGACCAATGATCTTATTTGGTTAAAAAGGAAGTGAAATATTAAAGCAGCATATTTGTTCAACAATACAGCCATATTTGATTTAGATAATCCTGTGTACTTCAGGTGTTTCATACCCCATTTCCCCCAAATCTCTTTTGCAGTCCAACTTGCATAACAGGTAGTAGTTTGTTGGCAGATAAACGAACTTCAAGATGCCTGGCTTAAAGTTCCAGTTTATTCTTTCTGTGCTTTCAATGGATTCCACTGTTCTGGCTGCAGTGTGATGCAGGAACAGAAAACTGGCAGCAGGTGAACATGGAGCTCCCTGTGAAGTCTCCCCGCTTTGCTCTGTTTGACTTGAGTGAGGGGAAATCCTACCGGTTCCGAGTCCGCTGTTCCAATTCAGTGGGAGTTGGTGAGCCCTCTGAGGCAACGGAAGTGACCATGGTCGAGGACAAACTTGGTAAGTATAGAGTTTGCTTGAGCCACTGTAAACTTTTTTAACTTCAATTCAAGAGAGGATTCCAAAGCAAGAATCTTATTGGAATACGTATATATTCAGAAGTAAAAATCATGACATCCTTTTTTCTTATTATAAATGTAATTGATGACTGTACTTGACTGATACATTAAAATTTTTCATTATTATGAATTATTATGAAAAGTACACTTCTCCAGGAGTTTCAACAGTATTGCTAATGTATTTTTTTCTGGAAGGGGTTGGTATGTTCCTGGGTGTTTACTTTCTCATTGTACTCCCAAACTAGCATATTTTTAAAAACTTTCTGCTTTAACAAATATATTATAAAAGAACTGTGTATTTGACGTGACTACTAGTGTAAAATTTATATATGTGTGTGCATGTCTGTGCATATGTGATAAGAATGAATTTCTAAACCACATTGGGCTGGACCATCATTTCCCTCTTTTCTCAGACATCCCCAAGCCTCCGAGCAATATCATCCCAAGCAGAAATACAGACACATCAGTTGTCGTTACATGGGAGGAATCCAAAGATGCTAAGGAGCTGGTCGGGTACTATATAGAGTCAAGTATTGTTGGCTCTGGCAAGTGGGAGCCCTGCAACAACAACCCCGTGAAGGGCACGAGGTAACCGCAATATGCAGGATGGGTGTGGGGGGGGAGTAGGGGTATGACGGTGGAGCCACAGGGGCTGAGGAAAGGAACGCAGCCATGGACCCAAACAGCAGCACAAGCATCCAACACAGGGAGATTATTAAAAACATTATGCTCTGAATATCCAGATGAACTTAAAATTGAACATGTCTACAGCCATACATTTGAAAAAAGGATTACTAGTGATATTAAACACTTAGAAACACACAATGCCAGCTATGATAAGAGATCATTTCGTAGCTCTTTTCTGATTCTTTCCCTGTATGCTGTTTGTCCTTTTTAACCCTCTGTTCGTGTTTTAATACCCAGTGTGATACTAGATTTCAAGGATCTAATAGGCTCTAGTGAATGTAAATTAACCAGACATTTTATTTTATTTTATTTTATTTTTATTTATTACTTTTTTTGGCCATGCTGCATGGCATGTGGGATCTTAGTTCCCCGACCAGGGATCAAACCCGTGCCCCCTGCATTGGAAGCACAGAGTCTTAACCACTGGACCACCAGGGAAGTCCCTTATTGTTATTTTTTAAATTCAAGGATAATTGACCTACAACACTATGTTAGTTACAGGTACACAACATAGTGATTCAATATTTCTATACATTACAAAATTATCTCCACGATAAGTCTAATTACCATCTGCCACCATTGCAAAGCTATTACAATATTATTGGCTATATTCCCTGTGCTATAATTTCATCCCCATGACTCATTTATTTTGTAGCTGGAAGTTTGTAACCCTTAATCCCCTTCACCTATTTCACTCACCCCTGACCCTGCTCCCCTCTGTCAAACAACTGTTTGTTCTCTATATCTATGAGTCTGTTTCTGTTTTGTTAATGTTTGTTCATTTGTTTTGTTTATTAGATTCCACATAGAAGTGAAATGAAATCATATGGTATTTGTCTTTCTCTTTTTGACTTATTTCACTTAGCATAATACCCTCTAGGTTCATCCATGTTGCAAATGACAAGCCTTCATTCTTTTTATGGCTGAGTAATGGTCCATTGTATATATATGCCACATCTTCTTTATCCATTCATCTATCAGTGGAAACTTAGGTTGCTTCCATATCTTGGCTATTGTAAATAATGCTGCAGTGAATATAGGGACACATGTATCTTTTTGAATTAGTGTTTCTGTTTTCTTCAGAAAAATACCCAGAAGTGGAATTGCTGGATGGTATGGTAGTTCTATTTTTAATTTTTTGAGGAACCACCATACTCTTTTCCATAGTGTTTGTACCAATTTATATCCCACCAGCAGTGCATGAGCGTTCCCTTTCCTCCACATCCTTGCCACCACTTATTGTTTCTTGTCTTTTTGAGAATATACATTCTGACAGGTGTGAGGTGATAGCTCATTGTGGTTTTGATTTGCATTTCCCTGATGGCTAATGATGTTGAGCATCTTTTCGTGTGCTTTTTGGCCATCTGTATGTCTTCTTTGGGAAAATATCTATTCAGATCCTCTGCGCATCTTTTAATTGGGTTGTTTGGGGGATTTTTGATGTTAAGTTTTATGAGGTTTTTTTTTATATTTGGGATATTCACCCCTTATCAGATATATCATTTGCTTATGTCTTCTTCCATTCAGTAAGTGGCTTTTTCATTTTGTTGATAGTTTCCTTTACTGTACAAAAGCTTTTTCATTTGCTGTAGTCCCATTTGTTTATTTTTGCTTTTGTTTCCCTTGCCTGAGGAGACAGAGCCAAAAAAATATTATAAGACCAATGTCAAAGAGCATATTGCCTAAGCTATCTTCTAGGACTTTCATGGTCTCAGATCTTGCATTTAAGTCTAATCCATTTTGAGTTTATATTTGTATATGGTGTGAGAAAGTAGTCCAGTTTGATTCTTGTTCATGTAGCTGTCCAGTGTCATAAATTATGCAGGCATTTTAAATGAGCAGAAAAAAGTATCAACATTTTACAAATTTTGAACATCAGTATGGTTAAATCCAGTGCTGAGGAGATATAAACACCAAAATAAAGACATTCAGAATACTTTGCTGTCTCCTTGTGTCTGTTTCTAATGTGAGGAGGGTTATTTTTTCTTACTTTTGAATATTTTATCAACCAGCTTTGCGAGTTGATGATGAATTCTGGCCTGCATCCAAATTCTGAGTCTCCTTTGATTTAGGACCAACCTCAGAGGAGACTCACCCCATCCCAATTGTCAAGCAGGCTTGTTAGGCAGCTTCTGACTTGGCCACTTCTATGTCCAAGGACCCCCAGAGGATGAGTCGTTCCTTTTGCAGGACAGGGGAGAATGAAGACAAACCAGTTAACGGGAGAAGGCAATATGTTTTGCAAGAGATTCATTTAGCCTGTTTGTGTACTTCACGTTCACTCTGAGTTCCCCACATTTTCTGGGGACTATTTAGAAATTTTCATGGAGGGTAGGCAGAGTCTGCCTTTCCATAAATAGAACGGAGCTGCTCAAGGGCCAGCACCATTTTTTATCCATCTTTGTATCCTCAGTACCTAGCTCAGTGTCTGGAACACTGAAGTGCTTAATAAATGTTTACTGAACTGAGCTGGCCTACATTATGACTGCCCTTATTAAATATTTCAACATGCTAATAGTGATAGAGTCATTAGCAGACCAGTTATTTCCTCTGCTTACAGTCCTCAAGATGCATTAGAATGTTACAGTGATTCATGAAACAGTTTTTCTTTATAGCCATAATAGCTATTAAAGAGTGGGGTTGTTTTATGTGTCAAACTGCCCATGGATTCACACCTCATTATTGGACCCTTAAATGCAAATGACAATTCTGGAGTCAATTTCTCAAGTAATTGTACCTTCCATGGCATGCAGGGAGGCAGTGAGTAGGCCTCTATGACTAAGGCAGCCAGTGCCTTACAGCTATAAGTATATCCCTGAAATAGTCATTAATCGTGTTATTAATACCAGCTATTATTTATTAAATGCCTCCTATAGCCAGGCTCTGTAATAGGTACTATATATACTTTTTTCTAAAGTTTTTAAATTTATTTTTAATTTTTAGATTATAGTTGATTTACAATGTTTCAGGTATACAGCAAAGTGATTCTGTTTAATATATATTCTTTTTCGAATTCTTTTCTGTCATAGGTTATTACAAGATATTGAATATAGTTCCCTGTGCTATACAGTACAAATGGATAAACAAGCATTGTTTATCTATTTTATATATAGTAGTGTGTATCTGTTAATCCCAAATTCCTAATTTATCCCTCCCCGCCCTCCTGGTGCTATATATACTTTATGGTCAATCTTCACACAAAAATTACCATGTAGGCGTTATTATCTCCATTTTACTGGTAAGCACACAAAGGCTCAAAAGTGTAGGGTGTTTGTTCAGGGGATAACCAAGACTCCTCATCGTTTGACAGAGTGAATTTAGAAAATTGCCTGAGGTGCCTTCTTGTTTAATGTACATATGTTACCTGCATCTCCTTACATCTTTTTCTTCCTTTTTAAAAATGAATCATTCTCATAAAGCCAGATCATTCCATTAAGCTAACAATCAACTTCCCTAACCTTCCTCCTGGGAAGGTGTTTTTTAAAACTTTCTTTCCTTTCAGGTTTACTTGTCATGGATTGACTACCGGTCAGAGTCATATTTTCCGGGTCAGAGCAGTTAACGCAGCTGGACTTAGTGAATATTCACAAGATTCAGAAGCAATCGAAGTAAAAGCTGCTATTGGTAAGTTCTTAGAAAAATGAATTTTTCTAAGTTACAGCGAAAGATACCATCCTCTTCAGAAATTGTGTAAAACTTCTAATATTGCTCGATGATTCCATCCTCAGATAATCATTGTCTCTGACTCCAGGTGACCTCTAACCTTCCATAGCTGTCATTTTACAGATCTTCATCACTTATCCAGATTCTGTGCATCTGTAGCCTTTTCATCTTCACCAGTCCAAGTTTCCTCAGATATTTCCCATTGTGTGAATCTCCATTCTAACTTCGTGCTTATCCCGGGAATATGAAGTGCCATCCAATTCCATGAGGGGGTATATCACCTGTAACACAGAGCACCTCATACCTAAAAGCCGTTTCATCTGCGGCAGAGCCTGGCTTGTTCTAAGTAACAGCACATTAACCTGCTTTTTATAAACTGCTAAAATTTGTGCAAGACGTGTGTGGTTGCTTGATATGTTTCATCTCTGCTGGCAAAGTAACCAACAGAATAAAACCAGTAATAAAGTAATTATATGTATGTACAGTGATGCACCTTCCAATCTCAAGGTGGGAAAGGGACCCAGGTATTTCAGGGCAATTAAATTGAAATCTGTGATGTAGTAGCACGTATTTAAAGAGAAATATTATTTAATAACAGTTATCTTCAGTTAGCACCCCATATTACTTTTTAACATTCCTTAGAATATGTTTGTATTATAAGGACATAGTGAACATGCGTCTTTGAAGTTGGGAGGTACAGACCATTAATATATCAGTAAGGTACATAACTCTTATTGTTATATAATCAAGATCTTCAATGTTTGTCTCCTGTGCACTTTATGGTCCTTTTTTCCCCCATTCTGTTGAATAATGGAGCTCTCTCAAGAAATGTCTGAGAAGTGCTTGTTCTTATATTTACTTGGGTCCTGCAAATCAGAATGGCTCCTGTTCTGTCTGTGGTTTTTTTTTTCTCATTTCTTCTATTTCGAAAATATGGAAATGTTGAAATGCTTCCTTGGTGTAAGTTATGTGAAATGTATGCTTTCCATATTTCTTGCAAAGCCGAGTGATTTCCGTTAAACCAAGATTGCTTTTGTTCTGTTTGTGGAGCTAATGTTTTTCTCGTTTGTTCTATGAAGTAAGAGCACTCTGTACTGTGTCCTGGTTCAAAGTGTTTCTGTTGTTATCTGGCAATTGTAGGGGGAGGAGTGTCTCCAGCTGTGTGGCCTGAACTGAGTGATACACCAGGTGGACTAACAGACTCCAGGGGAGGCATGCATGACACCTCCCAGCCAACTTTTAAGAAAGATGCTTTGCTTGGTAGCAAACTTAACAAACCTTCACTACCCAGTAGCTCTCACAACCTGGGCCAAACAGAAGTGAGTAAAGTAAGTGAAACAGTTCAGGAAGAGCTTTCCCCACCACTACAGAAAGCAGCTGTTAAGGGGAAAAGTAAGTCTGACCCTCTGAAAAAGAAGGATCTAGGTGAGAGTTGAAACAGTAAAAGCGTCCTGTCTGTTTCCATGAGTGTCCTCACCTCTCGTTGTCCAGATCACCTTCTTCCATCTGTGTTCACTTTCATCAGTGTTCATTCTTTTTTATGTTTTCAGTTATCCATTTGTAATACTTTTGTTTAATGAGTTGTGAAAGTAATTTTATAGGGGTTTGGCTTTGACACATAATTCATTGTGCTTAATGACAATAGAATATTTAAAGTAATTTGGTTATAAAGTCTCTTTGGTTTAACAAGCAGACACACCTTTGGCCTCATTTTGCTGAGAGAGTTAGATATGAGAGGGGAAGGATCTGATACTCATAGCCTATGGGAGGTCTTTCGAAATATCCGTGTTTGGTAATAAATGGATAGGAAAAATATTTCACCAAAAAGTAACATTTTATCAGGATCATAGTTATTAACTTCTGTTTTTCATCCTCAGGTTTTCAAATTACCTTCACATTTAATTCAAATAAACATAAGAAACAATATCTCTTTGAGTTGTCATGAAAAGTTTAACAGGGCATTATAATCACATATTCTATTATATATGATCCACATTCCCAGAACTCATTTACTTAAGACTATTTATCAGTAAGGCTAATTACCTAATCAGAATTAGAATAGAAAGACTAATGATCAGTAATCAGAATTTTCTGATTAGGATATTTGGTATTTGTGGTTTATATATTCTAGGAGACAATGTTTTTCTTATCAAATAAAAATGAAATAATAAGCATATACTGGTAAATCATATCATGCCTCTCAGCCATCCCCTATATATATCCCATCCCTAACTTCTGTAACCGTCTCTACTTTTTTTTTTTTTTTTTCCTGCACCACCAGGGAAGCCCTTCTCTACTTTTCTGACACCTTTATTTGCCCCTTCAACTCAAGATGAGATAGGGTATTCATTTGAGAGTTTATATTCAACATTGCTCTGAAATAGAGAGAGAGAGTAAGAAAGCTCTTCTTTAAAATGTAAAGAATGAAGGAGGTTGGTGATGGGGTAAAGAGAGAAAAAACGTATTTTATTTTTTTAAATCTTTATTGTTCTGAGAATCTTTTTGAATAAGAATGAGATAGTTCCTTTATCTCTGATGATCCAAATAAATATTCAGAAAATTCTTTTTAATGTTATTGCACATCTAGTGGATTTCTTTCCACCACCCCACCCTCTCTTTCTTTATCAAAAAAAACATAATTTCAGTAGTTGAGTGAAAGTTTCATCAGCAAATCCACATAAATGAAGAAAGACTTTTAAAACAACATCCAAATATTTTTCTGATTAAACACTAATAAACACAGTGGCAGCTATATAGTATTTTGTGCCATATGAATAATAATCCAGCATCAGGTTTAAAATAATGCAGCAAAAAGTATTATACTAAGAGAAAAATCACATGGCTGATTGCTCCTGTTTTTTAAAAAAGATTTTTAACATGGCATTTAGCTGAGCTCTAGTATATGATTCTTTTCTGTGTGTAGACAGAACCTATATAGTTGTAAGGTCACACAAGGGTACATGTACCTGAGGGGTGAAATGCTAACTGTTTGGAGATATATAGAAATTCTTAATAAGCAAATCAAGGCAGAAATTGATATACATATGTCATTTTCCTCAGGGAGCAAATGAAAACAAAACCACATAAAGAAACAAAAATATCTTACTTTTTCATGCTATTGCTTTAGGAATGAAGAGGTAGCATGTACCTCTGTCCTAAAATTTAGAGTTGAGATATACAAAGTAGGATGAAAAATAATCAATAAAGATACGTAAAGTATTGAAAAAAAGAAACAGAAATATATATCTTGGGAAAAATATTTCTTCTTATGGGGAACAGATCATTTTTCAGGATATTGTTAGTTATATTTTCAGGATATTGTTAGAAATACTAACATTTTGCTGTTAGTATCTCAAAACTTATTCCTCCTTGGGAGTGGAGGGGGCAGGTACTTTTCATCTTTGGAGTAATAATTGCGGTGCAGTTTTTACTGTGTGTCAGTTTTTTTCCTCACATACCAAATCGATGCTAAGTTACTTACTGGTGTCACGTTTTAGTTTTACACCACAGGACCTAGTGCCCTCATGCGTGTCACCAATGAGACAGTTTGATGCAGGTAGAATCATAGAAGCATTTCTGTCCACTCATGAGCTCTTCATATTGCAACAGCGGCACCATCTCCACCCTATGATATCACTTGTCTTGAAAGTTTTCGTGACTCAATGGTTCTTGGATGGAAGCAACCAGATAAGACTGGAGGGGCTGAAATTACGGGCTATTATGTGAACTATCGAGAAGTAATTGACGGGGTACCAGGAAGATGGAGAGAAGCCAACATCAAAGCTGTCAGTGATGAGGCATATAAGGTAAGTGTGTGGCCTTCAGTAGTGCGGGGTGTCATATGTCTGTTGACACACCACATGCACACAATGTACACACATGCACATACATGCACATGCCCAGCACCTTGTCAATGATTCCTGTCATTTCTCCAGTGTCCTTTGCCTGCAGTGATATGACTTTTGTGACAAATATACAAAGATGAATAGAAATATTTTGGCTAACCAGGCAGTATGTGTATTTTCTGATTTATACGTATAAACATAATTTCTTCAAATATTTAGTATGGAATATATACTTTTTATGAAAACTTATGTTTTTTACAAAAATTAACTCACAAAGTATCTGTAACAATATGCTACTAGTTTTAAGAGTCCCGGAATCCAAATGACTGGATTTTTAACTTTCAATGTCCAAATCACAAAGAATAAAGGGACATGGACCCGATGTCCAGACTCAGCTTGCCTCTGTGAAGTGGCCCCTGTTATAGTGCTCTGATAGCCACAAAGGGGCACTTCACGTGTCCACCCACGAGTTTCCCTGCTACACGTGGGCCTTCACTGCTCGGCCCACCTCAGAGCACCTGAGGGGTCTCACTATTACCATAGCTACTGGCTCCCCTCTTTACAGCATCGTCAGCTAGACCCAAGTCACCACCCCTCCCTCACAGAACCCCAAGCTGTGAGAGCAAGATCAGGGTGAGGCCCGGGGAATGGTGCTTTCCCCAACTGAATGTCACATTCTTTTAACTTAACATCTAATATTTATGAAATATCACACGCATACTGAGAATACATAAAACAAAATTTTATTTTATTTATTTTTGCGGTACGCGGGCCTCTCACTGTTGTGGCCTCTCCCATTGCGGAGCACAGGCTCTGGACACGCAGGCCCAGCAGTCACAGCTCACAGGCCCAGCCGCTCCGCGGCATGTGGGATCTTCCCGGACCAGGGCATGAACCTGTGTCCCCTACATCGGCAGGCGGACTCTCAACCACTGCGCCACCAGGGAAGCCCCAAAATTTTATTTTTAAGATTCTTCCATGTTGGTACAAGTAGCTCTGACTTTATTGCTGTGTATTCCATTATATGACCATCTCACAGTAGACCTTCCCATTCAATTATTGATTGACATGGGGCATTGTAAGCCATATCAAACAATTTAGCTATGAACATTTTTGTACATGCCTGCTGGCACATATGTGCACTAGTTTCTCTAGGTTATTACCCACAAGTAAAATTGCTAGGCCAGAGAGTCTTCTTATTTATCTCCAACTTCACCACATAATTCTCTGCTGTTTTTCTGAAGAGTATGAGAATTCCCAATGCTGCACATCCTTCCAGCACTTGGTGTGTTCACACTTTTCCTGATTTGACAATTTGGGTGTCAAATGAGTCTGAACATGTTTTCCTGTGTTTATGGTCCATTTTGAAATCTTTCATAGCATACCTAACAACGTTTTTGCCCATTTTTCTAATGGGTTTTCTTATTGCCTTGTGAAGTTCTTTAAATATTTTGAGCATAAATCCTTGTTGGCTATGTAAGTTGCCTATATCGTCTCATTGGCTAGACTTTTCCTATCCTTATGGTGAACTACACCTATTTTCTTGTCAAATTTACTGTAGTCAGATTTACCAACATTTGCTTTGTCATTAGCGATTTCTGTGCCTTTTTTTTTTTTAAGAAATACCTTCTAGTTCAGGAATCCTGAAAGCCATGGCCCCAGCTGGGACCATGCTATATAGATTATATTCTAAAGGCTTTATATTCTAAAGGCTTTACACTTACATTTAAGTTATTAATTCACCTATAAATGTTGTATATGATGTGAAATAAGGGTCAAATTTTTTTTCCCTTTTATGGATACCCAGCTTCATGATAAAATCAGGTGTAGACTGGATCATGGATACAGATTTGTCTTGGCTTAAATCATACAGTAGGTAAACTTTGTTAACTCAGCTGGTTCCATCAGTACCTCCATTTATTAAGCATTTTTAATGTTCAAAGGATTATTTATCATTCATGGATTTTTTTTGAATTTTGTTTTATTTATTTTTTCATACAGCAGGTTCTTATTAGTTAACCATTTTATACATATTAGTGTATACATGTCAATCCCAGTCTCCCAGTTCATCCCACCCCCACCCCCACCCCCACTGCTTCCTCCCTTGGTGTCCATACGTTTGTTCTCTACATCTGTGTCTCAATTTCTGCCCTGCAAACTGCTTCATCTGTACCATTTTTCTAGGTTCCACATATATGCGTTAATATGCGATATTTGTTTTTCTCTTTCTGACTTACTTCACTCTGTATGACAGTCTCTAGATTCAGCCACGTCTCTACAAATGACCCAATTTCATTCCTTTTTATGGCTGAGCAATAGTCCATTGTGTATATGTACCACATCTTCCTTATCCATTCGTCTGTCGATGGGCATTTAGGTTGCTTCCATGACCTGGCTATTGTAAATAGTGCTGCAATGAACATTGGGGTGCATGTGTCTTTTTGAATTATGGTTTTCTCTGGGTATATGCCCAGTAGTGGGATTGCTGGATCATGTGGTAATTCTATTTTTAGTTTTTTAGGGACCCTCCATACTGTTCTCCATAGTGGCTGTATCAATTTACATTCCCACCAACAGCGCAAGAGGGTTCCCTTTTCTCCACACCTTCTCCAGCATTTGTTGTTTGTAGATTTTCTGATGATGCCCATTCTAACTGGTATGAGGTGATACCTCATTGTAGTTTTGATTTGCATTTCTCTAATAATTAGTGATGTTGAGCAGCTTTTCATGTGCTTCTTGGCCATCTGTATGTCTTCTTTGGAGAAATGTCTATTTAGGTCTTCTGCCCATTTTTGGATTGGGTTGTTTGTTTTTTTAATATTGAGCTGCATGAGCTGTTTATATATTTTGGAGATTAACCCTTAGTCCGTTGATTCATTTGCAAATATTTTCTCCCATTCTGAGGGTTGTCTTTTTGTCTTGTTTGTAGTTTGCTTTGCAAAAGCTTTTAAGTTTCATTAGGTCCCATTTGTTTACTTTTGTTTTTATTTCCATTACTCTAGGATGTGGATAAAAAAGATCTTACTGTGATTTATGTCAAAGAGTGTTCTTCCTAAGTTTTCCTCTAAGAGTTTCATGGTGTCCGGTCTTTCACTTAGGTTTTTAATCCATTTTGAGTTTATTTTTGTATATGGTGTTAGGGAGTATTCTAATTTCATACTTTTACATGTAGCTGTCCAGTTTTCCCAGCACCACTTATTGAAGAGACTGTCTCTTCTCCATTGTATATCCTTACCTCCTTTGTCATAGATTAGTTGACCATAGGTGCATGGGTTTATCTCTGGGCTTTTTATCCTGTTCCATTGACCTAGGTTTCTGTTTTTGTGCCAGTACCATATTGTCTTGATTACTGTAGCTTTGTAGTATAGTCTGAAGTCAGGGAGTCTGATTCCTCCAGCTCTGTTTTTTTCCCTCAAGACTGCTTTGGCTATTCGGGGTCTTTTGTGTTTCCATAAAAATTTTAAGATTTTTTGTTCTAGTTCCGTAAAAAGTGCCATTGGTAATTTGATAGGGATTGCATTGAATCTGTAGATTGCTTTGGGTAGTATAGTCATTTTCACAATGTTGATTCTTCCAATCCAAGAACATGGTGTATCTCTCCATCTGTTGATATCATCTTTAATTTCTTTCAACAGTGTCTTATAGTTTTCTGCATACAGGTCTTTTGTCTCCCTAGGTAGGTTTATTCCTAAGGATTTTATTCTTTTTGTTGCAGTGGTAAATGGGAGTGTATCCTGAATTTCTCTTTCATATTTTTCATCATTAGGGTATAGGAATGCAAGAGATTCCTGTGCATTAATTTTGTATCCTGCAACTTTACCAAATTCATTGATTAGCTCTAGTAGTTTTCTGGTGGCATCTTTAGGATTCTCTATGTTTAGTATCATGTCATCTGCAAACAGTGACAGTTTTATTTCTTTTCCAATTTGGATTCCTTTTATTTCTTTTTCTTCTCTGATTACCATGGCTAGGACTTCCAAAACTGTGTTGAATAATAGTGGCGAGAGTGGACATCCTTGTCTTGTTCCTGATCTTAGAGGAAATGTTTTCAGTTTTGCACCACTGAGAATGATGTTTGCTGTGGGTTTGTCATATATGACCTTTATTATGTTGAGGTAGGTTCCCTCTATGCCCACTTTCTGGAGAGTTTTTATCATAAATGGATGTTGAATTTTGTCAAAACGTTTTTCTGCATCTATTGAGATGATCATATGGTTTTTATTCAGTTTGTTAATATGGTGTATCACATTGATTGATTTGAGTATGTTGAAGAATCCTTGCATCCCTGGGATAAATCCCACTTGATCATGGTGTATGATCCTTTTAATGTGTTGTTGGATTCTGTTGGCTAGTATTTTGTTGAGGATTTTTGCATCTATGTTCATCAGTGATATTGGCCTGTAGTTTTCTTTCTTTGTGACATCCTTGTCTGGTTTTGCTATCAGGGTGATGGTGGCCTTGTAGAAAGAGTTTGGGAGTGTTCTTCCCTCTGCTATATTTTGGAAGAGTTTGAGAGGGATAGGTGTTAGCTCTTCTCTAAATGTTTGATAGAATTCACCTGTGAAGCCATCTGGTCCTGGACTTTTGTTTGTTGGAAGATTTTTAATCACAGTTTCAATTTCATTACTTGTGATTGGTCTGTTCATATTTTCTATTTCTTCCTGGTTCAGTCTTGGAATGTTATACCTTTCTAAGAATTTGTCCATTTCTTCCAGGTTGTCTATTTTATTGGCATAGAGTTGCTTGTAGTAGTCTCTTAGTATTCTCTTAGTCTCTTAGTAGTCTCTTAGTCTCTTTGTATTTCTGCGGTGTCTGTTGTAACTTCTCCTTTTTCATTTCTAATTTTATTGGTTTGAGTCCTCTCCCTCTTTTTCTTGATGCGTCTGGCTAGTGGTTTATCAATTTTGTTTATCTTCTCAAAGAACCAGCTTTTAGTTTTATTGATCTTTGCTATTGTTTTC